GCCTGTGGATACAGGCGGCTAAAATAAAGTCCCCTTGCCCTACCGAATCTGCTTGGAGATTATTCTCCACCCCTTTATTCATCTCAAATCCCTGTCACACATTCAGAACCTTCCTCCGACTACCAACCAACCAAGGTTGGCTGATGTTCGGTAGCAGTCTAACTTTTTATACAAATCGACTCTATAAATTTGAGTTGAGTCGTACATTTGAGTCAAATTCAACCCCCGACCACTGCGCACCTACTCCCGAACACCAGCCAACCATGGCCGAACCTCCCGACCATACCCAAATGGTTTAAACATTTTGAAACAGCCGAACAGTAGCCGACCTCAGCGAACACCAGCCAACCACAGCCGACCTTGCTCGCGACCTGAACATGGATGGGGGATTTAGGCAGTGTTTCGTAGGCTAGGTGTGTCGGGGGCTTCACTACTGATGTCCCAATCACCGTGTGTCACCCGTCACCTGTCCTGACACACCGTAATAAGGGTGTTTCCCGGTCTCCCCCGTCATTCCTCAGTCCGCATAGCTTAGTAACTACAAGGCAGGAGGGGGACGAACAAAGCGCTGAAATGCGCAATTAGAGCTGGCATGTCTTTTGATGTGGTGGAGGTGCGGATTTTGAAGTTCCGAGTAATGCCGGGTTTAACCTCGGACCCACCGTGCATGATGTCTGGTCCCAGCCGCCTACTAATTATGTTGAAAATGAGGACATACCGCAAATTTGACTTATCTCTTCTTAGTTACCACTAAATGTAGTGTGTCGAACTCAACAAAACAGGATTGACATTTGATTTGAAGTTTGTATATAAGGGAGAGAATCTGTAGAAAAAAAATTGGGTCCAATTGTTTTCAAAGCAACAGTTCGTGCTTTCTTTTCACCTTCATTCTCTTTTCCACCCCCTGCCCTTACTCCATGGCCACTTTCCATGCTTTTGTAACTTTCCCCGTATCCACGATGTGTGAAAATCAAAATATATAAGCGGCCACGTCGTACACGCAGAGTAAAGCACACGGTATTCGTAAAACAGTCTTTGTTTGTTTGTTTGTTTGAACCTGTGTGAGAAGCTAAAATCGGGCCGCTTTTTATTGAAGTCAGGGGGGACGAGGTAAGGGTGTGAAAAAATATATATTAAAATATAAGTCCTGATAAATTTATACACACATTCTACACATACATGGTACAAAATACATACATACTATATAGTGAGTGAGAGCATGTATATAGTTCTTGTCTGTCCATTTGGGTCATTTCTAGATCTGCAGTATTTCTCTTAACTAAAGGCAGGTAAGGTAACTAAATGGTAAAATTAAGTCTATCAGCCACCAAATGCTGTCTAGTTTCGTTATTTCAGTAGTTGTTCCTATTTTTACGTATATACATTTAAGACAACTGATGTACACTTTTTGTTTTTAACGCAGCCAAACTTCACAACAGACTGCGAGTTCCTAGAGAGAATACAAGACAACGGGTACAACACATACCAGGCAAGGTGGGTACCTCAACAGATACTTCAACTTTTACACAGCTTATTTTGGATCTTATTCACACTGTACATTTTCATGAATCTCAAAAAAAATCGTATACCATCCAATTGGTGTGAGTTACGTATACCATTCCAATTGGCAATTCTCTCATTTCCTTGCAGCTATAGTCAAAAGTTTCAGTAGGTTTCTACGGGATGAATAGCAGTTAACCAGCACCATCTGTCCTTGATAAAGACTAAGGTCCACCTGTGGAACACATTCTTGTGCAGTAAGTTAAGACAGCGACTCTTCAGACAAACTAAGCCCGAAGGTGAATCTGTGAAAACAAAAAAAATCAGTATCACTGTCTTTCCATGTAGCAGTTTTACAGATTGGTAGTTTTGATACATTTCAATAAGAAGAAATTTTTTAATTAGGTGCAACACGAGTCGAGAAATAAGATCCCGAATAAAGTGAAACATCTTGAGATCATATATCACGTCTATCTGGAGATAACGTTACTGTTACTTTCCAGAGCACGAAGTTAGGCAACCGATATTCTTATATGTTAATAAATTCCCCTTTAGTATTTGCTTGATTGAAAATTAGTAAATAAACAACATTCAGATCAACAATATGAGCGAAAATGCGTCACCAGAGCTGAATAGACTTTTGGCGATGAGACAGTCGTTTCGAGAACCATTAGGACCCGGAGTAAATTGTAAATTTAGAGGGGTCAGAACGCGCCATGCCCTTCCGTTACCACACGTTGAACCCCCAGCGCCTGTCCAACACTTCCAATCAGGACCTGTACCGGCTTCAGCCGACATGTTGGCTGCCTGCCTTCACCAATAAGTAACACACCGGTGGCAATTTTACAGCACATCCGTTAAACGGTCACCTAATTCGTCTACGTATCAGAAAATTAGACCAAGAATTAAAGAACAATAGAATAGATACACACACATACAAATTAAAGCCTTGTCGAAATTTTTCAATGGCAGCCATTGATATATCTGATAGGTCTCAATCTTCAGATAAGGCCACGGCAAGTAATTTTAATGGAGAAAAATGGAACGGAAAAGACAAGTCTGAAAATGGACAAATATGTCATAAACTTCTATCGGTTCAGAGACCATAGAGGGTTTTGTTTAACCATAAGGTTTATGGTCTCAAAATTTGAAAATGTAGGGATTTTATTTTTGCCAGCCATGTTTTTTTCGCCCTATCGCATTAGATTTGGAGTGTGTGGAGGATGTTATCGATACAATTTACTTGCTGTTGCCTAATAGGAGAGATGATTTTAATACCTGTGACAGATTGGGCATGTGTATACAGTCTCCCTTCCCTTAGCTGACGGGGATATCGTGACGCCTAATGATCTTGATTCCAGATGCTTCATAATTTCTAAAGTTCATGTCTGCTCAAGTTCACGCCGGCGTCGCACGATAGGGGCGGGCTCACGTGTTATCATTTATGGTCGCCCAATCCGAACCATGTGTGAGGGACACGCTTAACGAACGGCTGGGTTGCCCGTTGCGTGCGACGGCTTGACGCTACTGTTGTGCCGCCTCACGCTTGTTAGGAAGTTTTCCTCGGCAACTAATTCCTAATATAATGAAGAACAACTGGCCGATATACTAGTATGCACACATGCGTCTTTCAAGGACAAAATAACGTGTGAAGTTTATTTTGAACACGTACAAACTCTTCAAGCTTGATGTATCCTGTATGACGTGTGTTGGGAACAAATTCCAATCGTATATCGACTTTAGCTTTATTCAGGTTCTCACCAATGCACTTTACAAATCTTTTGGTGGAGGGGGAAGGGGCAACAATGTTTTTTTGTACCAAAGGAAATGCAATCGCCGTAGCTGCCCTGTACAATTTTGCAACAAGTTTCGAGGTCCTAGCTACAACAGATATCCCGGTCCTGTGAAGATGAATGATGTGAGACGATAGGATATTCAACAAACTTTCACCACGAATGAAGTCTATAAATTACCTTAGGCTGAGAAAATCGACACATGGGAACATTTCAGTAGTCCAACTCCAGGAAACGTCACGTCCAGTGTGCCATCATATCAGTTAATCTATTTACATAGACCTTAGTCGCCAAGTTTCCCATCGATAGCGTGCACAGAAACATTAAACCATTTTTGCTTCTTGTCACGCAGGACTCGCCGAGGCAGGGACAACCGACGCTGGTACGTTGGGTTGGACAGACAGGGACAGCCCCGGAGGGGCAGCAGGGTCAGGAGGACTCACATATCAAGCCAATTCTTACCGAGACAAATCGAGTGATAATCCGTGTGTGCGCTGAGTTTTAAACATGACTTCTGGGCTAAGCTTTTATTGTTTAGCAAAGCACACGAGGCTGTTTGAAAACCTTGCCTCCGAATCTGGCTACAAGCTTACAAAACCTGTTCCCGAGGAACTCCTGAAAACGGTTGTTACTGATCCTGGGAAGGAGAGCTTCAAGGTCAAGATGGACGACAGGTGCGGAAACAGGTGTGACGCACTTCCGGTACGACGAGAGGGGATCTGCTGGTCAGAAAGACGTCGAGAGACGTAAGCCAATATGGACTTCTACGCCTCTACCGAGCGTCAGAGGCGGTTCTATCTAAGACAATGTGACATTCAAGAGTAATCCGACGATCGGCAGTGACGGACAATTCTTCTCGTGAAGAAACTGTGACAAGTCAAGTTACAGACGTCTTACAAGGACCTCTCTGTACTGACAATCTCGCAAAACTGTGCCTTAATTATTGCTCACTTAAAGCACTTATTGCTCACTTCTTCATTTTGTCTGAAAATCTCTAATCAACATCTGCTTGCACAACGACCAGACGATCAAAAATTGAATTATCCTTGAGATATTTCACCAGATATCAACATTAATACGATAAATTTTATGAAATTCTTACAGATAAGTGATAATGGCCTATTTATTTATTGACTCATGTAAACCTCGAGCCGATAGTATTTATCTCAGAACGCCAATATGTGTGTATTGTGACGATGTGTACAAGAACACGACATGGGTGATACTGGAATCAAGACGATCTGGGCAAACCATTGAAGGGTACACAGCGACTGACAATGTGATTAAATCACTATTGTTACCATTGAACCGTCTCTACTTCATTGCGTTCCTGTACTCGGTTCGTGCTTGAATTGTCATGACCATAAGTAATTATCAATTATCGTATTTTAAGGGGAAACTCTCGATAAACATTGGGGATTTCTAGTCCCCCTGAATGTTCTCTAAACCCTTTACCACAAAATGACGTTTTTTAGGTCACAAATAAGCAATACTGTTTTCTAGATATCTACGTCCCTACTCTAACGAGTTGAAGCTAGCACGACGTTTTTTTCCAGACGTCTCTGTCATGCACATTTCGGCTATATATATAGTTCTTTCCTCTCTTAGTCTCGATAAGGTTCCTTAGTAGTAGTATATGGACGGCCTCTTCTCATTTTGGCTTCTAGGGACCAGTTTACTGGCTGGTTCACCATGGTGAGTTGTATGACCAGCGAGGCTTAGCTCATTCTTCTGTCCTTGTTGGAAAATAAACCATAGATTTCGATTCAACGAACATGCACTAATCTGTGACTGTGTGAAGAACTTTCTACCAGTGGCAGTGCACAGGCTGACGAAACCAATACATCCCGTCGTATGTTGGAAAAAGCTTATCAAATATCTCCTTCTGAGGGACCGCCGATCAGGATTAAAGGTTATCTATATTAATCTGCCTCTATATAGATAGATTGATAGATATAAATAGGTGGCTATTGCTGAGATATCTACAGATGAATATGACACAACAGGCAGTGTGAATTTCAAGTTCAACACATTTCGTTGGCGATTTGCAAGACTGAACAATATGTGCTAGCTGTAAACATGTAGACCATGCAGGGGTGTTGGTCACGAGTAGGGCTGCGTACCTAAACGTAACATCAGGTACAGGTACAGGTACTGGTACAGAGGTTTAGGTACAGGTCCGGACCTGTACCTGTACCTGAACAATTTGACAAATTAACACGTGTTCTTCACTTTTTCAATCATGACACAGAAACAATAATAAAGTGTTGGAGGGAAGGGAAAATGACTGACCTCTGACCTGATTTGAGTTTGTTGACCAATCACAACCCTGGATCAGCCACACTCTCGCGATGTCTCGTGAGACTGAGGATCTCAAATCAATCGACGGTGTTTACGTCTTTTCCAGTGCTAATTTTTCGTCTTTGTGGTAGGATTTACCTATCTTTAGTCATATACATGGTGTAAACTAGCTATTTCGGTATATACTCGTTACTTCATGATCCGGTATTTTGGACCTGTACCGAAACGATTTTTACGGTATTGGACCGGTACAGTGTACCGGTCCGCAGCCCTAGTCACGAGTGTAGCCGTTTATCGATCTAGGCCCAGTATAATCTGGCAACATCAGAGTGGGAGGGGTGACGAGTTATCTGCGTCACTGTGTGGTACTGTAAGCCGTGCGTTTTGTAGGCCACCGGACGTCCGGTTAGAGTAGTACATGTTGAATACGTTTATGACGTCCCAAAATTAATCTTCTCATAAAAAGGACGATATACTGTGTGCTATACAGCTCAAAAGCCCCGTCCCAATGACGCAGAGTATTGTATTACTGTTGTACCTAAGGGTGTAGTATTTCCTTACTCCACCATCTGCACATTGGCGACAGTGCTGCAGAAATAATTTTGACCAACAGGTGTCCCCACAGACTAGCGTATGTATACAGAAGTCAAGTACTCCTGGTGTGCTGTGGGCATGTCTATCATTTGGCTTGTCTAACATCAACATAGACGTCAGTGTGACAGCCTTTTGAAGGTTCATATTTTGGCACAGGTTCCGAATTCCAATACATCTATCGGCATCTTCTTGTTTCTAAAAAGAAATGGCTTACCTTCAAATAAGTGAAAATCTGAAAAGAATGTAGCCTCCCTTTCTACATCTACCTTACTTTAATGAAGTTTTATTGCTTCAGTATAACATCATCCAACTTGCAGGGAAGATACAATGTGCCTATCAGTCCTGTTCTTTGTATGCACGGGGCTCACATCAAGTTAACATAATTAATTGAAAGCCATATCTAATATGCACATTTAATAAAAATAAGATCAAATTGCATTACATAACATGATCACTTTTAAAGTCATGCCTTATTACACATTTTGTCCTTTTGATAATTCATCATGGTTATGACAATATCTCTTGCAAATTATAGCTGTACTCAATACTTTTTTTACATGGATCTGATAATCCAACCCATAGATTTATGAAACCTCAGATTTATTCTAAACTTGGGAATTTCTTAGCCCTTAATAGTTCCTGTCTTCTCCGAGCACTAACTTTCATGCCGTAACAACTAACAGGGGTGTCTCCAACCAAAACATCCCTGGCAGCTGTGTTCATGTTACCAGTCCAGTCTTTAGGTGGAAGGAGGGGCTCTCTATTAGTTCTGTTTTCTAGATCAGTGTCTGTAGTTTTGGACACACATCTTAAACCTTTTTCAGCCATTCTATTGGGTGTACTTAGTTGTTCTTCAGGACATTTTGGGTCGTCCTCTTCCTCTGATATGTCCAGTTCTTCTAGTGTACTGTCATTACTTGAAGAAAAGTCAGTCTGTGTTTGTTCTCCTTCAGACTTCAGTGTGCCGTACTTTAACCTCGTCTTGATGTCATTTGTTTGAGCAGCACAAATGTTTTCCTGTCCGGTTGGATTTCGTTTCCGTCTGCCGACCATGGCGCTTTGGTTGTTAGATGTCTTCTTGGCTCCCCGTCTCCTACGTTTGGGTTCACTGCAGGTCATCTGGCTGGTTCGAAACTGGGGAGAGACCTAACATAACGGTGTAAAGAAATGAGTTGGTTGTTCCAAAGAAATGCAGATTATAATACTACTAAATCTTTCAATTTTGAATAAAATGAGAAACGTACTTTACCTTGTCCCTGCTGGATAATACTGTAACAAGTAGAGAATACTAAGTAATTGGCTAAGTCAAAGGTGTGTGCTAAAGCCAAGGTAAAGTGGTGCATCTGTAAGAGGTTTGAATGAAAAAGAAGAAAATCTCAGTGTCATCTGTGACTGTCAAAGATCGTAACTAAATGTCTGTGTGGCTCTCTTTTCTAAAACATTCAATCAATGTTAAGTCCAAATAGACATACCTGTATATCTAGCTATAAAAGGGGGGACTGCTGAAATGGTATATAGTTCTTACCCACGCCGAAGTGTCATTTGGGTCCACCATGACGATATCAGCGGTGACCGGGCTGTGTGCGGCGGACACCATGGTGGTGTCGTGCCGGGGTCCCTCACACGGGCTCTCCGTAAACATCAGAGGACGCTTCTGCTCGCCTGTTTTCTTTCTGCGGCGAGGCATTGTCTCTGAAAGAAAAGCTGTCAACGTGAAGAAAACTAGCCTGGATGCCAGACCCAAAGCACACTGGACACAAAATATCTCAGTGTGCACACTGAGA